AGAGGCAGAGACACAGGCAGAGGGAGAAGCAGGCTCCATACACCGGGAGCCCGACGTGGGATTCGATCCGGGGTCTCCAGGATCGCGCCCTGGGCCAAAGGCAGGCGCCAAACCGCTGCGCCACCCAGGGATCCCACCAAGTGGAGTTCTAATTTCAGATGAACAACAAATATTTTAGGGCACTTGGGTGGTTCGGTGGTTGAGCGTCTGCCTTTAGCTCAGGGGTGACCCTGGAGTCCTGGAATGGAGTCCCACATCGGGCTCCCCGCCGGGAGCCTGCTTCTTCCCTCTGCCTGTATCTCCCTCATTCCTTCCTGGACTCCGGGATAAGCAGTCACCCAGACTCGGACAGAAAGAGTTCAGTGCAGGGGCTCCGGGAGACACGGAGGCTGGACAGCCGCCAGAGCCCACCCCCACCCCCAAGTGCTGCCTTCTTTCCAATTTCTGTGGAAAAGAGCAAAGCAATCCCCAAATATGGGCATGCCCCTGTCAGCACTGGCCTCTGGGGAAAGTCCTTCTAGAAATGGAGATCCTGAGCTATGCAGCGGGCTGCCCCAGGCAGGCCCTCAGCTGTCACCCAGTGCGGGGTGCTTTGTCAAGAGGTGCGATTTCACGTCTGGCACCCGAGGGCCACTTGTAAGGCATCTCAGCACCACTGTCTGCGGTGGTTGGTTTGGCCCGGCCAGTCGGCCCCGCTGGAGGGGTGCAGAGGCTGAGAGCACTGAACAGGGGTGGACTCAGGCTGACCTGGTGTCAACATTTCTGCCCTGCCAGGCACGGTTGTGGGAAGCAGGTGGCCTGGCCACTCTGAGCACCTCCGAAAGTGACCCCCACCTCCTGGGTGGTTGTGAGGCCAGAGCGGACTTTCCTGTGCAGGTTCAAACCTTGCCTGGTGGACTTGGCTGTTACTCACACTTACCTGCTTCCAGGTAGGCTGCTCTGAGGGAACCCTGAGGACATGTCCCTTGAGGATCCAAAGATGCCAAAGGGAGCACTGTCCCCACCAGGAATGCCTCCTTGAGGACGATTCATGCACTGGTCACCCACCCAGTGACCCTCGATATTCCAGGCTAACAGAACTCCAATTTTGTTCGCGTGGGGTGCCCTGCGTCAGAGAGAGTGACCTCCTCCACTCCTAGGACCAGTCACAGGAGATCACTCTGTTTCCTTTTCCAGTTTCAGATTGGGCAGAGGCAGGAGATGCCATTTTGGTCAATGGGATAGAACCCGAGGGGGTTGGAGGTGGGTTCTGGGAAAGCTTTTTACCTGTCTTTGAATGCGGATGTCCTGAACATAAATGTGATCCTTGCTTCGTCCACCATCAAAAAAATATATGCATCAACTCCCTTAGGCTAAGATGCATGTATGGTCTCGATGCAGGAGCTGATCTCTAAACTTCACGGGACAGGAAATATTTAGTTGCTTGTCAAATAATGCATCATGGGGACCCCTGGGTGGCTCAGCGGTTGAGCCCTGCCTTCGGCCCAGGGCGTGATCCTGGAGTCCCGGGAGTCACAATGCCTCAGCGTCCTGCATAATCGTTGCAGGATAAATCATTTTTGATTCATTGGTAGAAACATTCAGCTACTATGAACTCTTGTTTCTTCTTTTTTTAGACTTTTTTCATTCACAAGTCACAGAGAGGCAGAGACACGGGCAGAGGGAGAAAGGCTCCTCACTGGGAACCCGATGTGGGACTCAATCCCAGAACCCTGGGAGCATGATCTGAGCTGAAGGGAGGTACTCAACCACTGAGCCACCCGGGTGCCCCATGAGCTCTTGTTTCAATTTGGAATCCCTCCTTGAACTCTGGGAATTAGACACACCTCAGCACCCAGCTGGATTTCAGTGTTGTGGCGGGTCTCACGAAAAGTCCTTTCCAGCATTTTCCAACTTGATGGTAATAATCCCAGAACTACAACGGAAAGCCCCTGGGGAGACACTTAAAATCCGATCAAAGACCTTCATCCTTTTTCCTTTGCTAGCACTGTGTCCATTTGCGTGAATATGACACATTTCCAAGTAGAATCTAACCTCCCTGAGTCTTTAAATGAATGCAATCTAACTTAACCCATCTGCCTGAGCAAAACCTCAGTGTGAGTGGCTCAGTGGTTGAGCATCTGCCTTCAGCTCAGGGTGTGATCCTGGAGTCCCTTACATGGAGCCTGCTTCTCCCTCTGCCTGTGTCTCTGCCTCTCTCTGTCTCTCATGAATAAATAAATAAAATCTTAAAAAAAAAAGCCATAAAAAGATCTGGAGCCTGGAGATCTTGTGGGTTGGCCAAAGAACCCTGCTGCCCCCCCACTTGTCCATCTGGATTACTATTTATACCACTCTTTAAACGTGTCATTACCCTTGTATCAGAAAAACGAAGCAAAACAAAATGGAACATGGGAAAAGGGAGCCACAGCTTTCCTGTATTACTGCTCGAGACCTCACAAGGCATGGCCACCCTTTGGAAAGTCTTGTTTTAGAGGACACATCCAGCCAGAGAAGGAACTTCGCCTGACAGGACAAGTCAAGGGCAGGACCAGGGCAGAGTCTCAGACCTCCTTGGGCTGGGGAGTCCTAGGCCGGCCATCCCAGACTCGAGGATGCTCATGGCTGAAGAAGATGAGCCATATTCAGTCCTGGAGAGGCATTTCAAACTCACATTTAACTCCCACAAAGTTGGGCAGCCCCGGTGGTGCAGCGGTTTGGTGCTGCCTGGAGCCTGGGGTGTGACCCTGGAGATCCGGGATCGAATCCCATGTCGGGTTCCCTGCATGGAGCCTGCTTCTCCCTCTGTGTCCCAGCCATTTTCTCTTTCAATAAATAAATAAATAAAATCTAAAAAAAAAATTAACTCCCACAAAGTCTACCACATATGTTTACGTTTGGGGGAAACATAAGGTTTAAAAAAAAAAAAGTGTGACAATTGCCACCTGCTTCCAATCAGTGATCATGTGCCCCGGAGCAAGCATGAAGAGGCATGGGACAAGTGTCATTCTCTTCCACTGTCTTGGGTCCTGTGAGCCACTCATTAGTGAGAGTCTTAGGACAGAATACAACTTCAGTGTTTTACGCTGTATTTGTTTGTTTGGGATACAATATGGCCCTAACTGCAAGCCATCGTCTTGAGCTGGTGCTCATTCCATCCCTGGAGGAAAACTTGGCAGCGTCAAGAGAGGGGAATTTGTAGATGTTCAGCACGAGATCTTCCTAAGGAGCTTTCAGGGGTAACTTTGACAAAAAGAGATCTCCAACTTCTTTATTATTAAAAGTTGTTTTTTTAGTAATCCCTACATCCAACGTGGGGCTCAAACTCATGACCCTGAGATCAAGAGAGTTGCATGCTCTTCCAGCTGAGCCAGCCAGGTTCCCTGAGATTTCCACCTTTATTCTGACTTCAGATCCTAACTCCTTAAAGAGAGGCCCCCTGTCAGATTCAGGTCTGTGGGGCCCCAAGGAGCCACTTTTTTTTGTCCTCCTCTTAGGGCTGGGGTCAAAGCCCTTTCTCTGAAGCTGCAATCCTAACGGGCCTCTGCTACACATTTGTATTAGTCTCCTGTTGCTGCTGTAATAAAGCACCACAGACTTCATGGCCATTATTCTACCCACCACACTCTTGTGTGTTCTCCCATAAACAACCAACGAGATCTTTCTGTATTTCCTAGTTAACAATTACCAAGCTGAAAAATCAGAGTGGCCTACCATTGGGCCTCCTTGTCCTGTGTTTGAGGCCTGGTTTTCACACCAGATCCTTTCACGGGTCACTAACCAGCCAGTGGTTAGCTGCCGTGGTGTCAGGTGCCTGTCTCTGACTAATCAGTGGGGGTCAGGTGTCAAGTAGGACCTGCTTAAGAATAAGCCAGTCCTCTTGCTGATGAGAGTGGTATCCCTCCAAGTGTAGTGATGAGTGGGACGGCTGGGTGCTGGCCGGCTCCACAGGATGTGGATCTGGCTGCTCTGAAATCCCAGATTCCTAGGTGATAGTCGAGGCCCCACAGCCTGCGGCTCCCCATCCGCCACAGCCCCGGAGAACCACTGACCACCGACTGGGTGACAACAGTGCCATTCAGCGTCAGGCACTGTGGAGCCTCTTGCCTGATGCCCGACTCCACATACGTGGGCTGTGTCAGCACACAGGACACAAGTGTTGGGGGGATGTGCTTCATTTACAGAGGGGTCTAGGCTCGCAGAATGGGAACCCTCCTGCTGGGCCCCAAACTCTGGGAGGGACCAGTCTGCAGGTGCAGAGATGCTGGCCATCCCTCTAATGCCTGTGCGTGCGTGTGCACACGCGTGTGGTGTGTGCAGATCGAGGAGCTGCAGGTTGACTGTGGGTAATCAGGTGTTGGGTCTGGTACCTTCTCCCATGGCCTGAGAGCCTACAGAGGAAAACGAGCCGCAGCTGCTGTCCTGGCTCTGTGCACATTAAGCCCCAGAGACTGCTATTCTCCAAGATGGGACAGTCCCTCTGGAGGGCGAGCTCAGTGATGGTGAGACGATCCCAGGCGGAGGGAGAAGTGAAGATCCTGGGGCCCAGGGCGGGCAGCCCCCCTTCTCTCCTGTGGGCAGGGCTGGTCACCCAAGACGCCAGTGAGGGTGGCCCCCCACGGGGCCTGAAGAGCACACACGGCGGCGGACCAGGGTCTGGACACACCGGCGTCCCGCTCCTGCTGGAGGTCACATGTGCCTCCTCAATCCCCACCTGCGGATTCCGGGCCCGATCCCCGCTCATCGTCCCAGCTCTGCAGCACCTGTGCACACCCTCCCCCCCCCCAACGGTCACTGGCACAAGGAACAGCAGTTCCGGCAGGAGGGTTGCGAATGCGAGGAGGCGGAAAAGCCATTGGGACCCCGGGCCTTTCCCATAACTTCCCGTGACATGGGTGAGAGCTCAGCGGGGACCATGGGCCCGATGAGCAATAAAGATCAGGAGGCACCTGTCGGCATGAGGCTTGCCATTCTGACGGAAGGCTGACAATGACAAGGAGTGTCACTGGGAAAAATTCACAATCAGACCGAAACAAAATAGATTTATTAGAAATATTCCACAGCCACACATCCCAGCTTCCGCATTAGTAGCTGGATACACCACGTGGGCGTGTCCCGTCCTCTCTGCGCTGGGGGTGCCCTTTGTAGAAACGAGGCCACAGATGTATCAAGTGCATTCAACTAATGTAGTTAAAATCAGGGAGCTACTGAGGATGTTAGAGACTTAGCCAAGGTCTAACCTGGGTCAGAAAAGTGAAATACCCAGGGAGCCGGGGCAGATGCAATATTAAAAATACTTTTTGCAAACGTGGCTAGGCTATGTTCTTGACCGCACGTCGCCGGTGGCTCGTGCCGAATGGCGCTCCAGCTTGGGGATGGAGGAGCTGCCGCTGATTTGGCAAATGGGTTTGCAGACACGAGTCCTCTCCTTCCACAGGCTCTGAAATGCCTGCCCTCCCCCGACAAGGAAGTGGGACTGGGGGGCTTCAGAGGAACGGCCAGTGTTGTTTTTTTGGGGGGGGTTGGAAACACCGCAGATACTGGTCACCGCCAGATGGCTCTTTGCTTTGGGACACTTCGGTCTCAACCGAAGCTAGGAAACAACAGCTGAATGAAGAACGAAAACCAAAGACTAACCTCATTTCTGAAGTGAGAAGGGAATAGGACACCAGAAGTGGGCATTTGCCTGGTTCCTCAGAATGGCTAATGTGGGGTGGGGGGGACGGGGGGCTGGCACAGAGCTCACGCCCAGGATCTCACAGCGAGGAAAGCCACGGACAGCTCTTCACGGCTTTAAAAACCACCTCTGCTCTTCAGGGTCTTGCCTTTTGCATCTGTCTTTTACATAAGAACAGTACATTTTACAGAAAGAGGATCCACAGAATCACCAAATGACTTTAAATGAAGGCAGGAGAGAACCAAAGTGGCTACTGCAGCATCGGAAAGCCTCAGGACAGGAAACCGGAGACTGTAGTTTGCTGACCCTACCTTGTTTTCTCAATTAAATTCCCATGTTCACCTTGTGCTCTGAGCTCTTCAGCTAAAAATGGATCTAAAAACCCCATCCTGCAGCCCAGCCCCAGGTGGCCCGGGACAGCCCCCCTACCCAGGTCCTGAAGGTGCTGTAAGGCCTGGTTCCTCTCCCAGGGCCTGCAGGGCTAGACCTGCCCCTGATGCCACCCACGAGCAGGACACACGCTTCCCCTTCTAGAAGCATGCCCACTGGTAAAGAAAATGGTAGCCAAGGAGCTTCTTTGAGTTATAAAAATAAATCGCCCACGGCCTTTCTTTCCTTCTCTATCGCCTGAAGGGAGCAAGCTCCAGTGTAGGGCAAGGGGAAGGAGAAGCATCACCACTGCATAGATGCTGCTGTTTCACCCAGAGCTGGATCTTCAGACTCATTTACAATAATCACTAAAAACAGGGCCCTGGTAATGCTGAACACCTGCTCCAGGTATCCCAAGAACCTCAACTGCTTCTCCCACAGAAACCCTGCGGTAATCCCAGATTAAACACACAGGCAACAGCTCACCCCAACTGCCTGGGATGTTACCTTTCCCCACTGCAACGGAGACCAAGGCAGTCGCTCAGAGTTAATGAAAATGCATCAGTTATGTCAACAAAAGGCAGGTGCCTGGAGCAACATGGGATATCTTCCATTTGGATACGTTCATCAGGAAGGGGTAAATTTAATTTGTTCAGACTTTGCCTCTCCACCTCCACGCAAAAACGAAGGAGCCACTTAGGGGGTCGTCTTTAGCAACTGTGCTCAGGGCCCGGCCCTGGGGAGTGAGAGGAAGGGGTTCTCTCCTCTCAGGGGTTGTCAGGGAACTGTGAAAACACACATAGTAGTTCCCTGGTCCCCTTCCAGATACTCTAAGTCAACGGATGGGGCAGACTGGGGGTAGGGGTGTTTTTAACTAGCTCCCTGGGAGATTCTGATCTCAGGCCCCAAAGGAGAACCGTAAGCAGGCCGCTGTGGCCACTCGAGGAGGAGGGATGGCCCCTTTGCAAGGCAAAGCTGACAGCAGGTGGGAGTCACATGCACTGGGTAATTAATGTGCATCAATGTGCCCAACAGGAGCACATTGCAGGCAGTTAGCAGGTGCCCACCTGCACTTCCCAGGTGACCCTGGGCTGCTCTGGGAAGGGCTCTGCTGCCACTAGGGGTGACAGCAGGATAGTAGACTCAGGGCTTGCTTTTGCCAAGCAAATGTGAGGGGCCTGATGAGGTTCTAAACACCAAGTCCAGAGTTGAAATAGCATTCACATTTGCTGTCTGCCCAGTATCCCAAGAAATACCCCTCTGCAGCCTATGTGTGCAAACTCATGAAGACCTGGGTGGGCACAGGCCACTTCGCATGTGAGGAACATTCTGTACCCAGGGGAGACGCGTGTGGGCAAGAATGGTACCAGGAATGAACGGGAGGACAAGGCGGGGGTAAGGGTGGGGACAGTGGCTGACGTCTCTCTCTCGGCCCGTGAGCGACTGGAGCTCTGAGTGTGAGTGCGTCCAAGCACACAGACACACACTTCTATCTGCAGGCCACCCCACGGGGACACAGCAGCAAACCACCCAGGGGCTACTCTATATTCTCATGCCTCTTCCTTTCCATCCAAAGATTCCAATAAGTGACAGCAAGTTCGAAAAAGTGCAATCAGGTTCCAGGGTCAAACTGGAATCTGGAAAATAAGGATATTTCCCAAAAAAGGCAGGGCTCATGTGTTTCCAGGCTGCTCGAGAGCAAAATGTCTTTTTGTGTTTGGTTGGCTGTTTCTGTTTTGGACAGGGTGGGCGGTGGGAAGGGGAAAGTTTCTATCAAGGCAAAAGGCTGGATTTTTCATGAAAAGATGACTGATTTGGAAGTGTTTGTTGTGAATCTCAGCAGCTCACGGGTGAAATGGCACCGTGTCACCGGAGATGTCCTACTGGGTTCTTGTGGGGTGGGCCTGGGCAAGGACCCTTAGGTCTGGAAGGAACGAGGCCTGTGGGAGAGCACGCTTCCTCATGACACTCCAAATGCATCTGGATTTAAAGCGGGTGTGAGGTGGAACCCAGCTCCGTTTCTCATTTGTGTGTTGGTCCCCCTGGATTGAGCATCGTGGGTGGTGGATGGAGCAGGGCCTGTGGAAAGTGACCAGGTGCTTCCAGGACAAGCTGCAGGCAGCGGGGCGTGCTCTCGGGACCTCCAGACTTATGTCTCAAAGTACTTGTAGATCTGGGCCACATACTGCATCACGCTCTGCCAGTCAGGCCGGTCTGTGTACAGCATCTCACTGAGTTCCTGCAGGAGAAAAGACGAGGTCACAGTGGGAACACCACAGACCCCCACCCCTGACAAAAGGGCTGGGATTCAGGTTGGGGCTGGTACTGCCTAGAAACCCTCCACTTGCTTGGATGGAAGGTGTAGGCAACACTGAAGTGATGTTAAATGTTAAAAGAAAAGCAGTTTATTCCTATTTAATGGGGAGATACCGTCCCTTTTATTTTTATTTATTTTTTCATTTCATTTCATTTCATTTCATTATTTCATTTCATTTATTTATTTATTTTGATACTGTCCCTTTTAAAAAGACTAAATCTGACTTCCTGGCCCATTTCATCTTAATAACAGGACAGCATTAAAAAAATGTTTTGGAAAGAGGAAGTCACCCATAATTCCACTATCATAGCATGATTTCCACTTTTCTAAGTTATACTGGAATGTACATTTATGTTCTCTCATACTTCCATCAAGTGGACACACTTTTGTGCACTCCGTGTGTGTGTGTGTGTGTGTGTGTGTGTTTTAGAGGTAGAGAGCTAAGGGGTGGTGGGAGGGGCAGAGGGAGAGAGGGAAAGAGAGAATCTTAAGCAGGCTTCATACCCAGCGCAGAGCCCATGTGGGGCTCACTCGCACAACCCTGAGATCATGACCTGAGCCAAAGTCAGGTCAGATGCTTAACTGACTGAGCCACTCAGGAGCCCTCTGTGCTTTTCTACTTAACGTTTTCCACATGCAGTTTTACAAGCTGCCATGCTGGCTGTCATGGCAGTTGATGCACACAGTCCAAGGAACTACTGCCTCACAATCGACATGACATCTAATGTGACATCTCCACACAACCGACTTTGTGATAAGCGCCTTTGTGGGATACCGCTGAATTCGTGCCTTGAGGTGAATTCCCATGAACGGGGTTAGCACGAAAGCCTTGAACCAACTGAACCTGCAACCACTGTCTTATCAGAATTGAGTATTAGACCGCTTAGTGTTTGTTGTGGTTGCTTCTCCCTTGCTTTAGTGGGGAATCAGCAAGCAAGCAGTGGAGGCCAGAGAGTGACAGTCAGGAGGGCTGGCTGCTCCGTCAAGCAGCCGCCACATGTTCCTGAAATTTGTGCTGCTGTATGTATTAAATAATTCACTGCAGGACTGAGTTTGGATTCTTTTGTGGTCACGAGAGAACAGTAGGAAAGGACTCTGATGTAAAGCCAAGAGCAGGGATGTGGTGGAAAAATCAAGGCTGAACCTATTTGGCACATATGTTCTTGGATGGTGACAGAGACCTGTAACCAGCCATTTATTTTGTTTCCACGACATCTAAATATATTTTTTGAGTTTTGCTTCCTGGTTGCGCTAAAAAATTATCAGCATATCACTGGCAAGGAAGGATGTGTCTTCCGTCTCAGAGAGGACATGGGAGTCTGATCAATATTCACAGCTTTGGGACACCTGGGTGGTGCAGGATCACACTTTGAGCATCTGCCTTCAGCCCAGGGCATGATCCCAGGGTCCTGGGATTCAGTCCTGCATCCGGCTCCCCACAGGGAGCCTACTTCTCCCTCTGCCTCTGTCTCTGCCTCTCTCTGTCTCTCATGAATAAATAAATACAATCTTAAAAAAGAATTCATGGCTTTACTCAGACTATCTTATCACATGCTTGAACCTAACAGTAATAACAATTAAAAATTGTTTTTTATAAATATAAAATTATAATAATAACAATAAAAATACTCTGTACATTGTCAAAACTTCTTCAAACATTTTGAAGGAACAATGGAGCACATTTCAGAAGAAGGGAGAGTATGCTGCCTAAACAAAAATATGGGACATTTATTTGAATTAGTAGCTGAAAACCTTTCAAAATAGAAAACACTGGGCCCAGATGGTTTCACTGGCAAATTCTGCTAAATACTTAAGGAAGAAGTAATACCAATTCTACACATTCTCTTCCAGGAAATAGAAGAGGAGGGCACACTTCCTCACTCCTTCTGCAGAGCCAGTGTGGCCCTAACGCCAAACCAGGCAGAAACATTATAAGCTACCAATGTCCCACATGAACACAGACACAAAAGTCCTTAACAAATATTAGCAAACCGAATCATGATCAAGTGGGGTTCACATTAGGAATTCAAGATAGGTTCAACATCCATCAAAGTTTAACAGGCTTAATGAGAAAAATTATATGATATCAACAGATGCAGAAAAAAACATTTATACGTTCTTGAAGATATTTGTGAGTTTGGTCCCAGACCACCACAATAAAGCAGCATAAACAAGTCAAATGAATTTTTTCAGTTTCCAGTGCACATAAGTTACATTACATGTGGTCTATTATGTGTGCAACAGCATGTGTCTAAAAAAACCCAAAAATGTATATTTGACTTTTGCATAACACAAGTTTGAATTGTGTGGATCCACTTATTTGTGAACTTTTTGGGATAAATACAGTATGGTACTATAAATATATTTTCTCTTCTTTTTTTTTTTTTTAAAGATTTTATTTATTTTTTCATGAGAGACACAGAGAGAGAAAGAGAGGGGGAAAGAGAGACAGGCAGAGACACAGGCAGAGGGAGAAGCAGGCTCCATGCAGGGAACCCAACACAGGACTTGATCCTGGGACTCCAGGATCACACCCTGGGCCGAAGGTGGTGCTAAGCCGCTGAGCCACTCAGGCTGCCCATATTTTCTCTTCTTTATGATTTTCTTAACAACATACTTCACTTTAAGAATATAGTATATAATATCTAAAACATACAAAATATTTGTAATGGATATTATTGGTAAAGTTTCTGGTCAACAGTAGGATATTAGCAAAGTTTCTGGGGAGTTAAAAATTATACAGAGATATTTGACTGCATGGGGGGGACTGGTGCCCCCCAACTTCTATGCTATTCAAGGGTCAACTGTACATACCTTAATTAAAAAATATTTTATTGCTAAAAAAATCCTAACCATCATCTAAGCTTTCAGTAAGGTGTAATCACTGATGACAGATCACCATCACAAATATAATAATAATAAAAATATAATTATAAATAATAATTTCAAGAATTACTAAAATGTGACATAGAGACACAAAGTTAGCACCTGCTGTTGGCACAACAGAGGTGAGACTGGCTTGATGCAGGACTGCCACAAATCTTCCAGTTTGTAAAAGAAAATGTGGGGATCCCTGGGTGGCTCAGCAGTTTAGTGCCTGCCTTGGGACCAGGGTGTGATCCTGGGGTCCCGGGATCGAGTCCCACATCAGGCTCCCTGCATGGAGCCTGCTTCTCCCCTCTGCCTGTGTCTCTGCCTCTCTCTCTCTCTCTCTCTCATGAATAAATAAATAAAATCTTTTAAAAAATGCAGTATCCGTGAAGCTCAATACAGTGAAACACAAATGAGATATGCCTGCTTACAGAATTCAACAACTATTCGTGACAAAAACTCCTGAAAAGCTAGAAAAATAGAAGGGTATTTCTTTTACCTAATAGAAGATACACACAAAAACCGAAAGTTGACTTAATGGAGAGAGACTGGATACTTTCTCACTAAGATGAGGAGAAAAGAACAAGGCAAGGATGTCTTCTCTCACCTTTCCCATTCAACACTATGCCAGAAGTTCTAGCTAATGTAATAAGGCAAGAAAAAGAAACAAAAGGCATAGACTGGAAAGGCAGGACCAAACCTGTTTTTATTTTTTATTTTTTTCAAACCTGTTTTTATTTGCAGATGACATGATCATCTATGTAGAAAACTCCAGAGTCTACAAAAAAAAAAAACCATTGGAACTAATACGCAAATTTAGCAAGATCTCAGTCGATAGCTTTCCTATTTTATATACCACCAATGAACAACTGAAATGTGAAACCAAACCAAACCAAATCATTTAAATGGCACTAAATTTTAAAAAAGGATGTATATGCAGAAAACTTGCTTATAAAACATTATATGCAAAAAACTACAAAACAGTGACGAAAAAATCAAGAAGCAGGCACCTGGGTGGTTCAGTGGTTGAGCACCTGCCTTTAGCTTAGGTTGTGACCCCAGGGTCCTGGGATTGAGTGCCTGTGGGGAGCCTGCTTCCCCCTCTGCCTATGTCTCTGCCTCTCTGTGTCTCTCATGAATAAATAATTAAAATATTGAAAAAAAAATCAAGGGATGCCTGGGTGGCTCAGCGGTTGAGCATCTGCCTTCGGCTCAGGGCGTGATCCTGGGGTTCTGGTTTCAAGTCCCCATCGGGCTCCCTGCATAGAGCCTGCTTTTCCCTCTGCCTGTGTGTCTCTGGCATTCTCTCTGTCTCTCATGAATAAATAAAATCTGTAAAAAAAATCAAGAATCTCTAAATAAATGGAGAGTATTCGATGTTTATGGATGAGATAACTAAGTATTGATAAAATGTCAATTCTTCCCAATCTGATCTATAGATAGAACACAATCCCAATCAAAACCCTGGCAAGCTTTTTTGGGGGATTGACATTGACAATCTGATTCTTTTTTTTTTTATTTTTTATTTATGATAGTCACAGAGAGAGAGAGAGAGGCAGAGACACAGGCAGAGGGAGAAGCAGGCTCCATGCACCGGGAGCCCGATGTGGGATTCGATCCCGGGTCTCCAGGATCGCGCCCTGGGCCAAAGGCAGGCACCAAACCGCTACGCCACCCAGGGATCCCGACAATCTGATTCTAAAATGTATACAGCAAAGGCACTAGGACAACCAAAGAAATTCTAAAAAAAATAAAATTGGAAGACTTGACTTCATGATCTATCAAGTTGTATGAATCAGGACAGTGTGGTGCTAAGTGACAGATGCGTAGATCATGTTACATGTATTTTACCATAATAAAAAAAATTGAAAAAAAAAAAGAGATAAAGCTTCCTGTCCTTGGGATCTCATGGTCTCGGGGGGACGGAGATAAGCCCTATAATCAGATATATTACAATGTAACACTGCATGAGCTATATAGTACTGAGTACATCGTGCATTAAGAGCCCAGAAGGTGGACATGGCTGTCCTGGATGAAGGGTCATACAGTAG